GAGGTCTGATACAGAGATGGGTAAGGGGATTTAAAGAGGGAAAAAGGTTAAGAAGAAATTAAAAGAAAAATAGAAAATTCAGAAAATTAATTAAAATATGAAATTGTAAAAAAAATGAAAAAAAAAAAGGAAAAAAGGAAAAAGGAAAAAGGAGGATTGGGAGTTGTTGGTAAGAGTCAGTTAGGCCTACTTAGGCATGTGGGTGTAGAAACCAAGTTGTCCACAGCCGTCCAATTCTCCAGCTGGTTACCAGACCAGACACTTTATAAATTTTACTTATTTTAATCATGATCTAATTATCAATTTTATTTTTTTTTGAACAATTTTGATATTATTTATAAATATATATGAAAAGGAAAATAAATTTCATGGAGTTCATATACGGTTACTCATAGAGTTGAACATCCCTAAATCAAAGTTCAATTTCACTTGAACGGAACGGACATACAATTTTATTTAGTGCTGTTAAAAAATAAAAAAAAAGTGCTGCAGGGTATCATTTCTTTTAGTTTTTCAGTTTTATTACCGTGACAAGTTTTTTTTTTTCTTCTCACTTCAACGCCACTACCAGAAATAACTGTTGAAACGCACAACACTGTGGATGATTCCCTCACTAAGTAAAAGCTGAATCGCCTGAAAAGTATACTTCTGTTGTCTGAAAGATTGTATTGGAATCCAGAAAGAATAATTTCACTTTTACTGCTGATTACACCAAGGAAAGGTATACAATTGCCAGATATTAGTGTATGAATATTTTTTCTCCATATAACTAGATCAAAAATTAAGAGTGAAGAAATAAAAGTGAGAAGATTTGTGTGTGTGTGTGTGGTTTTTTTTTTTTTTTAATATTTAGTAAATAAAACAGGGAGTAATACTAAACAAATGTTCGTAATTTAGTATATGGTCTATTAAACTGAAATATGATAATTACTATTAGATATGATTGTGAAACTATATATATATATTATGAAATATGGTTATAAACCAATCATTTTTTAAAAATAAAATCATCAGAGTTACCCCTCTTTTTTTATGAGTAAAATTTATCAATATTTTTCATTAAAATCTCTAAGTTTCAAGATTTGTCCTAAAAATTTAGAAAACAATGAATTTTTTGGCTTTACGACTTAGGAGAGTGCTGACTATACTTTGAAGGATCTGGAAATTATAATGCTCCAAATTTCAATATTAACCAAAAAAAAAAAAATCCATATTCTTAGCTTAGACATGGTACTATATCAGTTATATAATAGTGCCATTACCATATTGCTTCTACACATGCTCTATTTGTCATTCAAGTTAGGATTTGGACGCCAAATCATATGATTTTACTATTTTTACTCATCGATTTGGTATGGTACATGAAATTAAGCTGGTCCATAACAATACATGAGTGCTCTAGCAAGAAGATGATTAGTCATGTGCTTTAGAATATTCGTAACGACCAAACTTTCTTTGCCTTTCTGATTAATAATCAACAAAACTTTTCTTTAGTGTAACCTATTGGACGTTGCCCGTGTCACTGAAAATGACATAACCCAATCACCCATTACCCTTTGTTCATGAAACGAGACATAATGAAAGTTGTTTCCTTTGCTAACCAGGTTGATGCATCTATTATGATAATCCCAAAACACTAATTAACGCAAAAACAGCTTCAAATCGTTCATAAATTTTCATGAGAGAATCTGAATCTTGGACTTTTATATGGAATACAATTTAAGGGAAAGAAAAGAAATACATTTTTGATTGAGGCCTTGAAATAAGGGGAAGGAAAATGAAAATTTGTGAAGGAGGAAGGAGAGGCTACCAGAAACTTGGAGGCACTTGGGTTTTCAAGGAAAGTGAAAATATTTGGGCATTGAAAAGAAAAGGGAAAAGAGAGACCTAAAGATATTTCTTTCTTCACTTTCAGCATAAGAAAAGCATGCAGGAAAGGTGGAGATTTGTGTAAATTGACATCCTCCGTCATAAAGTAGAAGAAAATGGGGAAGAAAAGACATCAATGATGGAGAACTCCATCTGATTTCACCATGATCCTTCCCATTGTAATCTTCACCTCGTAATTATTTGGGGGTGGCTTTAGTAGTAATTCTTTAGGAATTAAAAAAATTAACTTTTCCATACTTTAAGCCTGAAGTTGTGATTGCTATATAGGACTGGTATATATTATGGAGACTGTCCACTTGGACCCAAATTTTGAGTGCAACATAAAACAAAACTGATCTATTTGGAAATGCAAAAGGACTACCGGATCCATTATCATGTCAAAAAGGAATATGGATTGCTCAAAACATGAATATTCACAACATTATTGTTGGTGAAGCTTAAAGTGTTGTTGATGTTTACTATAGGTGTTGTTTTAATGGGGTCCTCTAGATAATGCAGGAAAACACAAAAGGATTGCATAATCCATGCATGCCTAAAAGTTGAGTCACAATTCTAACAATTTGGTGAAAAATGTTGTTTGTGCAAAAGAAGGATGAAATGAGTAGATAGAGCTGAATAGGTTTGGTTTAGATTGTAAAATCTGGATGGAGGAGGGTATCTTTTTCTATAGTGGTTTTCTCTGTTGGGTGTAATTTCAGGTATTTGAAGTTACTTGACATCCCACAAGTTGCTTCGATGGTGGGTGTACAGCTCATCTCTTTTTGTGGCATGAAATGCACAGTTTCAATCAAATAGATTTGCACAACAATTAAGTTTCCCGGCCTCTTGACGCTTAAACTCAAATCAACCTTTCATTTAAGTATTTAAATGATATTTACTGTAATTTATAAGAAAAATGAAAATGCCTCCAAAGTCACAGATACAGGGCATCTCATTATCCCCATGGGAAAGGCAGCAATTAAGAGAAAGGAAAACACATAAACTTGTTGCATAACAAGAGATAAACTTTGTCCATCTTTACTTTAACCATCACAATTAGACACAAAGAGATGTAAAATTTTTATTATTAAAAAAATAAAATTACTACTAAACTATTAATTTGTGAATATAAACAGGAAGCCAAGTTAAAGATTTGAGCAGTGTTCCTCATTCATTTAGCCCACGGGTAGTGGATTAATACTCACAAACGTTACCTGCCCAAGTCTATGCATATAGGTTCTTCTAGATTCTAGTCTAGCTGGCCTTGCACTCCATGATGCTTCACAACTAACAATTAAGATATGGAAAAAGAAAGGATTGTTCCTTTCTTCTTTTTTTTCCCTTTTTTTGTTTTTTTTTATTCTGATAGCTGTAAAAAACATGTGTACGATTTAGCTTGAACCACACAGTATGTTGTCTGAAAAGTAAAAGCTGTGTAAACGAAATTGTGTTGCTTTTGACAAACATGATAAATAAAAGCACATTTGTATAGGGCTTTGATGATCTCCAAGGACCCTGGATCAGATTTTACCTTTGTCAGAGCTTCAAATGTTTTCTCTGACCGTCCGTCCGAATTCATTTTAATTAATATTCATAAAAATTCTGACCAAATTGAAGAAGAATCATTATTAGTTATTCTATTTCAAAAACAAACAAGGGCAGTTATCTCTTTAACATTTTTAAGGGAGTTAGAAGCACAAGCTGGAATAGTTTGACCCAAGCTTTCCATGACCCTAACCAGGAGTTTCAACAGTATATGTATCTTGTAGTTGTATGTATGTATACAAAGTTATTTTTTATGACAACATTTGCTACTTCAATACGAAAGCTGCTAAAACAGTATAAAAAGCATGTGACCTATTTATATTTTATATGATATTTTTTTGGTAAAGATATTTTATATGATATTAGAAGACAATTGTTTAGGAGATGGAAATGAACAACAAGCTTTTCATTTTCAAATTTACCAAAAAAAAAAAAAAACCTTTTCATTTTCAAGCTACAAGACCTCATTTGCAGTAGTAGGTGAAACCTTCAAATTATTGAAGACAAAAGAGGTTTTCATCACTGGAAACGAGTCTATTATTGGAGCCTATTCTTCATAGTATGGATAGCCAGGATCTTGTGGTGTTCATAGAATATGCTTTTGATATTTAGGTTTTCGAAGGTTATTGTTTTGGAGACGTCTCCTGCGTCTAGAACTAATCTCAATGTCATAATCAGTTCAAGTTTAAAAATTTTGCATTTGAGGCCAAATTACATTCCCTAAGTGATACTAGTTTAGTTGATTTATGATATTAGCATTCCATCGTTCCTTTTTTCTTTTCACTTATAGAAAACAAAACAAAAGTTTATTTTGAAACTATTTTGATTTCAACTAGAGACCATTTCTTCAAGGAAATATGTAACATCACTTTCAAATCTTGCTTTTGGAAAAGAAATATAACAAGTACTAAAGAGCCTAACATTTAAAACAATTTCTTCACTATAAAAATTGTTTGTAGATAGGTTGATTGATCAATTAAGTTTTTTTTTTTTCGAAATAAATAAAATTTCTAAATGCCGATTTCAACGAGGCCGAGCAGGCTGCAGGTACTCTAAACAATTTTTTTTTTTTTAGCACATCACAATATGGAGGAAGAAGAATGGGATTCAAACCCAGCTCATATGACTGCACTCTTATCCAAGTGGACTTAGAGCCCGAGTGGAGGAGCTTCAAGTAGTTAACTCTAATAAAATTGAGAAACAACATTTCCAATTGTTAGTTTTCACTGACAATCATCTGAACAATAACATCAGACATTAAAGTCTAATGAATGTAGACAAAAGAAATATGGGGAGGGCGGCTTGTAGGGTCAGATACAGAGACAGAAATTGTTAACATCAATAAAACTGAGAAAAAAATATTTCCAAATGTTAGTCTTACGTACCCTACAATTTATCTGAACAATAACATCAAACGTTAAAGACTAATAAAGTGTAGAGAAAAGAAATATGGAGAGGGCGGTTTGTAGGGTCAGATACAGAGAGACAGGCATATTTCAGCTTTGACGAAAAGGGCACCAATTCAAATCATGTTATCTGTTTCAATATTTCCCTATTGAATTTCATATATGCCTTCCATTTCCCTCTTGCTTCTTTGGGTGAAGCTTTTCCTCAACTTGCACCTACGTTGGTGTCACACTTTCCTTCTCCCCTAAGAAGAAATAAAGCCATTCTTTCTTATTGTTCAAGAAACATGGTGTAATTGTAATTCAATCCAAAAACACAAGGTTTACCCCCCAAAACCTCTGTTTACTTAGTTATTGCAGAAGTTTAAACGCTAATCTATTCTACAACAAATCAATTAAATAATCGTTACGGCTTCATCTTCGTCAACACAAAACATCTTCTCAAGGAAAAAAAGCTGGAAATTGTGCAATGTAATAGTGTAAAAGGAAGACGACCTCAGTCCACAGTACCATGCGGTAGGTACCAACCTTCCTTTTAATTTCCTTATTCCTGTTACAGTGTTATCCATATCTTTTTTGGTAGAACCTGTTATCCATATCTGTGAAATTTGCCTTCATTCTGATTTCTGAAGGCAAACATATACATCTTTGATTTTTTATCATGCAAATTAAACCAGAAACTAAAGGGTGGAAGAAAACAAAGATACTCTTCCTTGAGGAATCTACAGTTTTAACCTTAGAAAGTGGTTTGTCCAGAACCCTTGCTGACCCAGAAGAAGATAAATAATCTAACTGAGGGATGTACGTATAAAGACTAAAGTGGTTCAAATCTTTAACAACTTGGGTGATGGAAGTTGGAATCAAAATTTCTTAGACAAAAGTAATATGCATGATCATAAGCATATTCAGAGGACATGGTTCAGGATGAATTAGAAGGAGAATCCAATTCTAATTGTATGCTAACTTAAATTCAAGTAAAGACCGAAAGAAGTTGACAATGCAATGATTTTGACTTATGTTTCCTAGGTACATTCCCCACTAAACATGCAATTAGTCAACAAAAGCAGTGGAGAACCTTAAGAAAAAGCTATATAAAATGGATTTATACAATGCTGCTTTTCTCCAAATTATAAAAACACATGGGCATTTACTATTTATTTATTTATTTTTAAAAAAAGGCGGTAGAAGCTGACAAATAACCAATAAACCTTTTATCACTTAGTGTTCATCACCTCTCATCTTATCGAATCTGCATATGATTATTTGTCCAAGAAGCTGCCCCTACTGGCTACAGAAGAATTATCTTAATTTTTATAGATTAGTGGAATGCAATAATTAAAACACATAACTATCAATGACAAATTAAGGTTTCAAATCTAGAAATTATTAGAGCCTCTGTACAATAATCTTTTTATTTTTAAAATCCCTTTCTACTTATTTAAAAATATGAACTTAAAATTTTTAGTTTAAAATTTAAAATTTTTATTAGTTCACGTAACTTAATTAATTTAGACCTCATAAAAATTATAAGTTGATTTTTTTTTTTTTTTTTATTTAGAGTATGTTGGTTGGTTCATTAGAACCATATACTCTTCATCTCATAGAGCAGGCATATATTTTGAGATTTGACTAGATACAAATTAAAGGGTTGATAGAAATGATTGAAATATAGACAGATTGGCAAAGGAATATTTACCAAATCTGCTAGTGCTTACTTAATTAATGGAAATTATTCTTCTGAAAGATAAAATTAATGACTAGAGAATTAAGAAAATTATTACTAAGAAAATATACACGGATGTGGTTATTGCCCATCGATATATATTATTAAAGTTACTAAAATTTTAATTTTTT